TTTTCATCTATCAAATGATGTATCATATTATAATGTTTTGTGTACACAGAATTGTCAATTTCTCTTTCAGTAAAGCTTCATTCTCATAGGAAACATATCGGCTACTTGGATGAATGTGTAATGGCTCTTGCCACATAGTTAGAAAGCCAGAAAAGTTGTGATAGTTATGGGACATTGTCTGTTTTTTGCATGTTGTTATTCTGTGTTCTTCAGTGCATCATTTAATTAAATAAAAAAATTAATGTAGTATTACTATTAGTGTAAAATAAATAAGTAGAGTTAAGTGTCATTGACAAAAAAAAAAAGATGACCTAGGTAAGTACTCTATTTCTTGTTTTTCATGTATATTCTTTATTTATTATTGTAAAAGTGAAGAAAAATAAAATGTAAAAATAGGTTTTGCACATGGATTGTCGATTCGTGTTGGCTTGAAAGTTAGTTTGCTACATGATCAAAGCGAATGAAATCCTCATATTTGCTGTTCTGATTTTGGTATTTTAGATTTTTTTAAAACCAATCTTGGAATTTCAAGGAGCACTGTTATTTCCACTTCTTGGACAAAATTAAGAAGCACAAAGAGTGAGATTGAACTTGAGCTCCTTAAAGATGAACCTCTATAGCAAAATTGCAAGGTTGCTGGTTAGTGTTGCAGTTTTATAATAGAACTTAGAATGCAGTAGGAAAAAAAAATGCTAGCATACAATTCAGAATTAAGATTCACAGATTCTTACTGTTGAGTATCAGTACACCCATGACACATAAATTTCACTCATTTATATTCCAAGATTCTGAGTAAAGTAAGGTATTATAGTTGTTTTACTTGCCAGTGCCATTCTAATTTTGTGGTCATAACATACTCAGGCTAAGTATTAGCAAATGTGAATAGCAAGGCTGCAACTTCTACTTGTTTGATTAATTGGACCAGTATGTTGTAAAATACAGTCACATTTTGGTTATAATACATTACATGTGTATGTACATTATTTGTATTTGCAAGTAAATTTTAGCTATTTTTTTAAAAACTAGAACAGTAAATAAGGAAGTATAGAAAACAGTTATTTCTTCTAGTTTGAACTTTGTACTTGTTTGCCTTATCACATTTTACGTGTTGAGGATGTAAAACAAAATAATCTTTTTAAGGCTTTATATATACATTTTGGAATAACAAAAAGTCATAAATTACCATATCAATACTACAGAATTCCGCAACAGTTTATCAAGATTAGTAATTAAGCTGTATTTGGGTCTAAATAATATCTTACCTTGTGGAATATATATATATACTTCGCAGAGACCTTAAAAAATAATGTGGGGGACATTCTGACCTTTTGATTATTATACACGTATCACTGGGAGAAGTAGGTGTACATAAGCAAACATTTTCAAAAATGAAAGAGTTGGATTTTGGAAAAAGAGGTAAAGTGCTTGAGGACTGTCAATAACATTTTTTACTCTGAGGCTCGGAAGTTGTTGTCCCCTGTTCCATCCTGGACATATGCTGCTGCACTCTGTTCCACTGCAGACAGATCTTTCTGTGCCTCCATCAGAGTCTTTTTCACACTATACAAGTAATCTTTTGCCCTCTATGGATGCAAGAATAGACAAGTCTCCTTCTACTCCTGTCTCTTTCCCCACCATCACTTCCAGCAACTGCTTGGGTCCATCTCCTTTGGCCCCAAGGAGCAGAACCATTATTCGATCACATCCTAAATCACTGGAGTCTCCTTTTTCTGACAGAGATCTGCTCAATTGTCATAGAGGTTGACAGACTTTTTCTACTAAAGACAAACCGGTTAAGTGTAGTCTCATTTTCAGATCGTAGATGCGCCACGGCTTTCTCCCTTTCTGAAGTTAGTATCACAGGTATATTTTATTTTTGTCTCCCGTGTCCTATGACTTGTCCCCTTCCCTGTTGACTGATGTACCTATTGGCAAATATTTTGGTGTTGGGACCTCTTAGGTAGAGATGCTCTTTTAACTCATGTGCATCTCCCCCTACATTTTTGCAAGATCTATGCATGGTCCCCTTGTCATGGTAAACAGTTTATAAGGGTCTTCCTGACTCATTTGAGTTTTGAGTGGAGTCTGTCCATTTGCATACTTCTCTCTCCTCCCTGGCCACATGTTTGTTGCAACCTCTCCAACTCCCATCTTTGCATTCTGCCCCCTTTCTTTCTCTCCCTTACCTGCTCCTTCCTTCTTGGCGTACTATTGTTCATTGCCAACCCACACAGCACCAACAATACTGGTGACTATCCTGTGGGATCGGATCCAGTAGAGGCTAAATTGCTTCTTTTTGCAGATACTTGGGACACGTTTACCACAAACCCATGGGTTCTTCGGGTCTTATCAGAAGGACTCTCCATTTGTTTCCATTTATCACTTCCTCTATCAACTTTTCCTGTTCTTTTATCCCCTCCTTAGGATTCCCTTTCCAGCTAGCATCTTTCTGTGGCCGTTTAGGATCTTCTCCTCCAGGGTGCTATAGAACTGGTAGTTAATACTCTTCAAGGTTCCTATTCCTGTCTTTTTTGTGGTCTCAAAGGAGACCGAGGAATGATGTACTGTTATAGATCCCTCCAGTCTTAATTGCTATATGGAAGTTCCTCAGTTCACTATGGAGTCTTTTCTCTCTCTTTTACTCCAGGTCTTTGGATAATGAAGATCAACGTGTCCGATGCTTACTTTCATATTCCCATTTCTCCTGCATCCCATCATTGTCTTTGCTTTGTCCAAAGAGAATGTGGGATGGCCTCTGCTCCCTATGGTTTTTGTTGAGTGATCAAGTCCTTTGTCTGACTTTTTCATTGGCATGGACTCTATTTCCTTATATCCCCCCCCCCCCCTCTAGCTCCTTTATTATCAGCTTCTTCCATCAACACTCAGTTTTACCTCAGTTGGTTGGCTGGTCAAGGTGGGGAAGTCTGTTTTACACTTACTGAATACCTCGTTCATCGTGGGGTATACTTCAATTTCTATCTCATTCAGACCCAGCCTTCTCCCCTACAACTGCATTCCATGGAGCTTTATAAATAGTTAGAAAGCCAGACAAATTATGATACTTATGGGACATTGTCTGCTTTTTGCATTTATTATTCTATGTTATTTGGTTGCATTATTTAATTAAATAAAAATTAGTCAGTGCACTACTACCATTTGTATAAAAAAAGTATGGTTAAGTGTCATCGACAGTCATCAGCAAAACAGAAAAACATATTACAATTTGAAGTAATTCTAGAAAGTTAAAAAATTTTTTTTTGTGATTATGAGTTTGGGTATATTAACCTACCTTGTAAAGAGTTAGGGTAAAGAAAATAACAGATAAGTAATACAGTTTTACTGAAAAACGTTTGAAATTTATTGAGGAGGTTTTAGAGGTTATGCAAATGAAATTTGAGATTTTTGATATGAAGAAAAGTATTTTTAGTATTAACATGAAAATCACTTTGTACTTG